ATACGAATACACACACAAACACACAAAAATACACACACATATAAACACACACGAACACACACATACACAAACAAACACAAACACACAGGCACACACCGCACCGAAGAGCACCACCCCCCCCTCCCAGCAAACCATTGCCATTTCCTCAACGACACACACACACCCCCCACAAACGGGGGCTGCCCAGTTTGTCACAGGTCCAGTTTGTCACAATTTCATTACAGTATTTGAGTACAGTCATAATACAGCACTTTAACTCTGTTCCGTAGTTGTAAATTAAATATCTTATTCTCCACCTTCAAATTGATGGTGTAGAGATAGTCTCTCTAAAATGTCAATTCAGCTTGTGTTGTTCAATATTTCTTCCTTTTTGTATGCAAATCAAAGCAAATTATTCTGTAAAATTTAAACAATGAATGGTCCTTCGTTAAAAACAATTCAAAAATGAAGTTCAATTCATACAATCAATCAATCAGTCATTAACTCTTTCTAAGAGCGTCATCATGCAGGGCACAGTGGAGGCATGCGACAAACTGGGCCTGTGACAACGACAAACTGGGCCTGTGACAACGACAAACTGGGCCTGTGACAAATCGACAAGCTCCCCCACAAACAGCCCTCTACATTAGTCCGCCCATTCCATCAAAATAATTTGTTCAAACCCACGCTAAACAGAACCACACCGCATTTTCAAAGAAACTTGCTTTAAATGGGAAGTAAAACAAACAAAAACAAAAAAACAAAACAAAAACCCAACCCATATCAGTTCCCCGTGAACCAGCTTAACCTTCCTTGTTCGATAAGAGTATTGCCGAGTACTTGAGGCTATCCTAGAATTTGTTTGTTTTGTTTAAGGAGTGGTTTTACGGCGCTCGCAACTGCATACGGTCATATGAGCGCCAAGGAGTGGGTGTCAACAGAAAAGTCCTTACAGGGAATCAGATTTACTCTGCTCACCTCTATCGCTTCAACAGCACAAAGTCTGCTTCAACTAATCAGACTTACTCTGTTCACCTCTCTAGCTTCAGCAGCACAAAGTCTGCTTCGACTATCAAGGCACCCCGGAAATAGTGGGTCACAAGAGAGTGACAAACATACAAAAGAAGTAGAGGATAAATGACAATAGTAAGGATTAGGAAAGAAAAAGCAGCAGTTCCCTGTTGCAGTTCAGGCACAGTTATGAGCGTGACATTGATGAATCAGCCCGTTTATAACTACAATTCTACAACGCATAATAACTCGAGATGCCAATG